CTTATTATCCCTTACCGGATGCTTTTGTGCTGGTGCCTACTCTTTCCAGAGTGCAGTGGTAAGGCGGAATTGTCTGTAGCAGAACCAAGTAGGACAGGAAGCGAGCATTAAAGAATAAATCATCTAGTGCTCGGTTTACTATTCCTAAACCCCAGAAAATGTGTGCGACGGATACCGCCAAAGTCGCTGAGGTGCTAAGACGGTAACGACAATGCATGTGGATGAGTTGTGTGCTCAAGTTGCTTAGATGTCATGCACTACATCCTGGGCGTCCTCAAGGTACATCAAGACCAGTTTCGAAGAAGTGGTCTTGCAAATCGCAGATATAGAAGATGCTTCTTATATTGCCAAAACATAGGAATCTTTTTATCTCCTTCCTGAATACCTGCAGCTTTTGGGTTTCTCTTATTCTGGAAGGCAAACTGTTCCATATTTTCACGTACACAACTAAAAAGAAACAAGAACGCAGTCTTTTCTTTACCTTTAGCGAAGTAAGGGATTGGCCCTTGTTTCGGAGGTTAGATTCAGATGCGCTCCTTAGTTTAAGACAAGGGCTATCATTGTGCAGTTTTCTATGAGTTAGCTTATATAAGCAGCACAGGTTATGGATAATGCACCTTTGCCATAGGGGCTGAATTTTAGGGTGTTCACACCTTTGCCGGAACGCAGCGCTTGCTGTGATGGAGACAAAATCTCCGTAAAGCGTCGCTGAGCTGTTTCCAGCAGAACACGATCCGACTTCCGTAGTTTGCTGCAAATAAAAGAGCAATATTCCAGATGTGGCCTGACGTGGCTCTTATAAAGTTCTAGCCTTGCATCTGCGGTTTTTATGTAACGGCGTATGTGGTACGTTAATCTCCTAACACTTGTCACTAGATAATGAACTTACTCTGCAAAGTTGAGGCTCATGGAGTAGCGCAATCTCCGACCCGTTGTCGTGGCATTCTGTTTGTTAGCGATGCTGTTTATTATTAGGAACCGAGCAGGTGTAGAATGTTGGTGGGTCATGACGTTAGATTCCTGAACAGAGAAGGTCATTTGCCAGTGTTCGCATTACTTTTCAAGTGCATCGAGATCCTCACGGATACTAAGAATTGCAGCCAATTCATTACCAGGGGGAAGACTTAGACAAGTTTTACGTCGTCAGCAAAATTAAAGGAGCGACCGTGTTGCAAACTCCTGCAAAGCTCCTTGATATACATAAAAAATAAAAAATAAATGGAACGAGCTCACGGAGAAAAGTTTCGCAAATATCCGGCGCTGAGATTTGTTCCGGATCCGGGGTCAACCAATTTAGAGAGGTTCGCTCTATTCCGGAGCCCAGAGAGCGATTCGAGAAGACGGATCGAGTTGCAGGAAACTTTTATTGGTTCAGCAAAAGATTCCCTGTTAGCTAGCTATAAATTAACGACACCGTGACGCTCTAGCTAGGGGGAACAGATCAAGCACAGCACACAGAGCAGTCGCGCGTTGCAAGCGAAGCGAGCGCCAAGCAAAAATGGCGATGAGCAAGTAATGCATTCGAACTCAGCAAGCAGTTCAACAAACCACACCGGTTGGCCTAAGTGTACAATTAAAGAATTTTGGTTATAATTTTACACAAGCAAACCGGGGAATCTCCAGACTGCTACTGACTGCACTATGAGAGAATGTTTCCATGCGGCCGGGCATTGACCTTTTTGCATTGATAAGGTAAAGATTTTCAAAAGAAGCATAGGGATATCTTCACCACCATTCTTAAGTAGACTGGGCGGGATTCCCTCTGGACCAGGTTCCCAGGATGGCTTGGTAGTTGAGATTGCAGAACGGACACTAATTAAGTCAAACTGTACAAAGGACAGGGACTGGCTACCGGTCACCTTCTGGGCCTGAAAGGTTGAGCTTATTTCCAAACACTGCGATTCTTTAAAATGTGAGCTGAAGGCTTCACATAAATTCTTGGGTCACTAGACGTTTCGTTGGGACTGATCTTTAGAGTAGAAATCTTACGTCCATAGTTAGGTGTTCGAGAGCGCAGCAGCCAACTGAGACTCTTAGCTTTGTTCGCACTATTTAGTGCGGCTATTTCTTGCTTGGTTTGCTGCAGCTTAGCTCTGGCAGAAAACTGGTGTGCCATCTCGTTCGCTCTCATGATGTGAGCAAAATTGAAGGTTTTGTAATAGGATCGTCTAAGCTGACGCATTCTGTTATGCATTTTGGTTTGGGTCACACTTTTAGAAGAATGCCTTATTAAATGCGACACGGGAGCTAGAGAGTCGAGACAGTGCAGTATTTCTTCATAAAACAGCTCGGCCGAGCGATCCACAGAATCAGACATAAAGAATTCATCCCAATTTTTTGATCGGACGAGCACGGCAAAGGTTGTCCAGTTGACGAGGTGCATTGGGCGGTATACTAAGACTGCGTCTGGTTCTGTTGGGTGGGCATTATGTTGCTTTAAGTAAACCGAGCAGTGCACTAATCTGTGATCACTACCCGGAAATTCCCGGCCGGCTGCCACTCACGTTGATGTGAAGCCTAGAGTAAATATTAGGTCAAGTATATGTTCCGCTGTGGTTGGAGCAAATACATGTTTCGTCCAGCCGCCTAACTTGATACATGCTAGTAGGGCTGCATACTTCGCCGTTGCAGCAGGTGAGAACAGTTTAACACAGGCAAGTTGAAATCTCCTGCAACCAGTTTGTATTCTCAGGAAAAATTTAATACTTGCGCAAAAGCATCCATAAGTGCATTATCACCCCTAACTGATGTATTAGGTGGTCTATAAGCGCAATCAAATAATACCGTCCATCGCAAGATATCAGCCGTTATCCATACTGAATCCATCGCCGCAGTCGCGTTCACCATTTCGGACATTTTTGCTGGTTAATTATTTTTAACATAAATGACGCAACCGCCGCCGCGTTTATGCACACGAGATTGCATAAACAGCTGGTAGTCAGGAAGTGAGCAGTCCTGCTCTGAAGCCTAAGTGGAAAACCACGTTTCCTTGACAAATATTACATCAGGGTCGGCGCGGAAAGACAGAGGACGCAAGATATGCATTTTATTGTTTAGGGACCTAGCATTTATAAGTAGAAGTGAGAAAGAACACTTGGAGTCTACCAGCTTTACGGATGACGAGATGAAGCCGTTGATGGTTACTTCGCTATCTGCAGTGGTTGTAGGAAGTGTGAGAAGACATTGCAGTTGGTAGTTGGGCGACGAGGAGTTTGGTGCCGGGATGGAACTGTCGCGGCTCATCCCCACCTGGTCTAAAAAATACGCAGGTTGCGGAGTAGGAAGTAGTGGACTATTTGGCCACTTTACCTGGATCGTCGGTGAAATTCTGAGGGATGTACCAGGTACATAACAGCCTGGGATGCGCTGGTAGTTGATCGGAGCTGCGTAAATTATCAAATGTAGTGCTCTCCGGGGGTGAATTGGTAACGGTGGTGGCACGCAATGCCGTCTCACAAGTATCTGGGGTTTGGTTGAGTAGTGTCCTTCTTGGTGGGCCAAAGTAGAGTTGCTTTAACTTGGGAGCATTGCGAAGTTGTTCACAATTCAATATTATAGTGCGCAGGATTCTACTATCGTCTGTTGTCAGTTTGACTGGGGCTAGGAATTTACTGATTCTTTTGACCATCCTCTCAACGTGTACCGAGTTTTCCGCGATACCGTTAACTTTAAGGATTGTGCTCTGAAGCTCGCCCGTCGTTATACCATCCGGAACGTTAAATACAAGTACGCTACACAACGCATTGTCCAAACCTGGCTGCTGCGACTGCTTGTCTATTGATCTCGCGCTATTTAAGGCTTGTGTAAGTGACATAGCCGTCGTCGCGTGAGTGACTAGGTGAGTTTGCTCCGCATGACCGTTTGACATTGGGATCCTTCGTAGTGTTAGACACCAATGCTGTCTAAGCGGTTTGGTGTAGCTCGTTGTCTCTTTTTGGATGCGCCAAGCTCCCGTTGCCTGTGGCCTGCAATGATGTTAGGATTAGTCTCGAGCCCAACCTAAACTTCTTTTCAGCGGCCCGAATGTAAGCTGGCTTAGCATTGTTGCACTGCGAAGCTGTTCACGGTTAGCTATAAGAGTACGCAATACTTCCTCATCCTTTGCGATCAGTTTGATGGGACCCCGCAATTGGGTTTACACGCTTAGTCAATCTTTGAACTTGCAGGGCATTCTCTGCAATGCCATTAACTGCAATGAAGGCACGCCGAAATGCGTCCCACCGATAAGTCGTCGGGAACATTGAACACTAGTGCGCTGCACAATCCAATCCCGCACGCAGCGTTGGTGTGATGCTAGCGTCTCCGCTTTTCTTATTTTCAAAGCTGGTGGCGTTGAGCCAGCGGCTCATGCGACTCGGTGGCGTGGTCCATATATGAGGCCTTTTAGCTCGAGGCGTTGGCGGCTCTGTTCGCTGAGGTTTGGTTATGCTAAGCTCGCTTCGATCGTCGTAGCATTTTGCTAACATCGGTTTAACTGAGCTGTTTAAAGCTTGCCTTAGAGGTTCGGCAGCCACTGGCCCTTCCGGTTTGACTGATCGACTTGTATTAGTAGCTGAGCACATAGTGTAAACCGAGGGTTTTCCTATATTATCCTCTGGCTGGCTGATTTGCTCTATGTATGATGTTGCTTTACGGATAGCACTGGTCTCAGGGTTTGCAGGTTCTTCCAAGCAATCAAGCGATCCAGTATCCATATCAGATGAAATGTCAAGGTCCACAATACCTGAGCCACTTAGGTGCACTGGCGTCGGAGAGTTGTCACAATTAGCCTGAACACATCTGCTATGTGCAGCACTCTCGGTTAGCTTGTCGTAACGTCGCTGCAATGCCGGTCTCGCTGGTACTACCCCCCCCCCCCCCCCCCCCCCCCCCCCCCCCCCCCCCCCCCCCCCCCCCCCCCCCCCCCCCCCCCCCCCCCCCCCCCCCCCCCCCCCCCCCCCCCCCCCCCCCCCCCCCCCCCCCCCCCCCCCCCCCCCCCCCCCCCCCCCCCCCCCCCCCCCCCCCCCCCCCCCCCCCCCCCCCCCCCCCCCCCCCCCCCCCCCCCCCCCCCCCCCCCCCCCCCCCCCCCCCCCCCCCCCCCCCCCCCCCCCCCCCCCCCCCCCCCCCCCCCCCCCCCCCCCCCCCCCCCCCCCCCCCCCCCCCCCCCCCCCCCCCCCCCCCCCCCCCCCCCCCCCCCCCCCCCCCCCCCCCCCCCCCCCCCCCCCCCCCCCCCCCCCCCCCCCCCCCCCCCCCCCCCCCCCCCCCCCCCCCCCCCCCCCCCCCTCCCCCCCCCCCCCCCCCCCCCCACCCCCCCCCCCCCCCCCCCCCCCCCCCCCCCCCCCCCCCCCCCCCCCCCCCCCCCCCCCCCCCCCCCCCCCCCCCCCCCCCCCCCCCCCCCCCCCCCCCCCCCCCCCCCCCCCCCCCCCCCCCCCCCCCCCCCCCCCCCCCCCCCCCCCCCCCCCCCCCCCCCCCCCCCCCCCCCCCCCCCCCCCCCCCCCCCCCCCCCCCCCCCCCCCCCCCCCCCCCCCCCCCCCCCCCCCCCCCCCCCCCCCCCCCCCCCCCCCCCCCCCCCCCCCCCCCCCACCCCCCCCCCCCCCCCCCCCCCCCCCCCCCCCCCCCCCCCCCCCCCCCCCCCCCCCCCCCCCCCCCCCCCCCCCCCCCCCCCCCCACCCCCCCCCCCCCCCCCCCCCCCCCCCCCCCCCCCCCCCCCCCCCCCCCCCCCCCCCCCCCCCCCCCCCCCCCCCCCCCCCCCCCCCCCCCCCCCCCCCCCCCCCCCCCCCCCCCCCCCCCCCCCCCCCCCCCCCCCCCCCCCCCCCCCCCCCCCCCCCCCCCCCCCCCCCCCCCCCCCCCCCCCCCCCCCCCCCCCCCCCCCCCCCCCCCCCCCCCCCCCCCCCCCCCCCCCCCCCCCCCCCCCCCCCCCCCCCCCCCCCCCCCCCCCCCCCCCCCCCCCCCCCCCCCCCCCCCCCCCCCCCCCCCCCCCCCCCCCCCCCCCCCCCCCCCCCCCCCCCCCCCCCCCCCCCCCCCCCCCCCCCCCCCCCCCCCCCCCCCCCCCCCCCCCCCCCCCCCCCCCCCCCCCCCCCCCCCCCCCCCCCCCCCCCCCCCCCCCCCCCCCCCCCCCCCCCCCCCCCCCCCCCCCCCCCCCCCCCCCCCCCCCCCCCCCCCCCCCCCCCCCCCCCCCCCCCCCCCCCCCCCCCCCCCCCCCCCCCCCCCCCCCCCCCCCCCCCCCCCCCCCCCCCCCCCCCCCCCCCCCCCCCCCCCCCCCCCCCCCCCCCCCCCCCCCCCCCCCCCCCCCCCCCCCCCCCCCCCCCCCCCCCCCCCCCCCCCCCCCCCCCCCCCCCCCCCCCCCCCCCCCCCCCCCCCCCCCCCCCCCCCCCCCCCCCCCCCCCCCCCCCCCCCCCCCCCCCCCCCCCCCCCCCCCCCCCCCCCCCCCCCCCCCCCCCCCCCCCCCCCCCCCCCCCCCCCCCCCCCCCCCCCCCCCCCCCCCCCCCCCCCCCCCCCCCCCCCCCCCCCCCCCCCCCCCCCCCCCCCCCCCCCCCCCCCCCCCCCCCCCCCCCCCCCCCCCCCCCCCCCCCCCCCCCCCCCCCCCCCCCCCCCCCCCCCCCCCCCCCCCCCCCCCCCCCCCCCCCCCCCCCCCCCCCCCCCCCCCCCCCCCCCCCCCCCCCCCCCCCCCCCCCCCCCCCCCCCCCCCCCCCCCCCCCCCCCCCCCCCCCCCCCCCCCCCCCCCCCCCCCCCCCCCCCCCCCCCCCCCCCCCCCCCCCCCCCCCCCCCCCCCCCCCCCCCCCCCCCCCCCCCCCCCCCCCCCCCCCCCCCCCCCCCCCCCCCCCCCCCCCCCCCCCCCCCCCCCCCCCCCCCCCCCCCCCCCCCCCCCCCCCCCCCCCCCCCCCCCCCCCCCCCCCCCCCCCCCCCCCCCCCCCCCCCCCCCCCCCCCCCCCCCCCCCCCCCCCCCCCCCCACCCCCCCCCCCCCCCCCCCCCCCCCCCCCCCCCCCCCCCCCCCCCCCCCCCCCCCCCCCCCCCCCCCCCCCCCCCCCCCCCCCCCCCCCCTCCCCCCCCCCCCCCCCCCCCCCCCCCCCCCCCCCCCCCCCCCCCCCCCCCCCCCCCCCCCCCCCCCCCCCCCCCCCCCCCCCCCCCCCCCCCCCCCCCCCCCCCCCCCCCCCCCCCCCCCCCCAATTGCCGTTCTCGCTGGTACTAACTTTAAGTCAGGAAACGTGGTGCGGGTCCTAAATTCCCTTTGATAGGAGAGAAACTTAAGAGCCGAGCTCTGGTTATCGAACTTAACTAAGAGAGGGCATTGGTTTTTCATAACTTTTTTTTCTCAGCCTTGTGCAGCACAGAAGATTGTGTTCCAAGCCAAACACTTTCGTCAGTATCTTGCAAATGGTGTTCAGCTTTAGGTGGTCTGGAACATTATAAATCACTACCTCATTAAGACATTTTAGTCGATCCATTACCTCGGTGCAAATCGTATTAATGAACCTTCCAGCCAATTCCGCATGCTTAGATTCCATGAGGTCCTTGGGTTGCATCGTAGCTGCTATGGCTGTCAGTGTATCAGTGAAAGGTTCTAATGTGTTGAGGACCCTTTTGAGCTTCACTAGTTCATTTGGAAGAACGGCTATTTGAGAACTCAAAGAAAATATGTCCGTTAAGTTAAGGGTGCATGGTATAGTTGGGTCAGCTAAGTTACTGCTGCTAGTTTTTGCTTTGGCCGGAGTACGCCCCACTGCTCGCACACCCTTGATAGAGACGTTAAGACGACGTCCACTGACCATGTCCAAAAGAAGAGGTGATGAAAAAGAAAAGATAACAGCAGAATAGCTGTAAGTTGAACGTTAAAGAATAGGTGAAGATCGCGTTGAAATATATTCTAGCGACACTAAACGCCTTTAAAAGCTTGAACCAATTGAGAGCAAAACAAAACGGACCTTGTTCCCAGGTACATCCAGTCTGTCATTTTAAGTTCTAAAGAACCGCAAAGTTACGCACCTCAAATTTAACTTCCCGCAGCAGCGCATGCATGAGTATGCCGGCTCACAGTGTTATCCCGCACAACTTTGATAGAACCATCGCCAGGCTACGTCGCAACTTATGCAATCCACTTGCTTGCAACTCCAGGAGTCATTATCCTCTTGCTGACAGAGCGCAAAACGCATCGTCACCAGCCGTCGGCCTCCTTGTGTGCAATGTGTTTGTGCGGCGACGTGCTGAAGTTTTTCTTTTCAGGGTACGGAAGTTCAATTGCCGTGCTGTCATGCTAGGACCCGCAACCTCCACCACAAGGGGCTTCAAACGTGACTTATAAATAAATAAATAAATAGGTATATTTCTAGACCTGCTAGAGGCTGCACCCGTTTGTGACGCCTACAGACATTTTCAATACACCTCACGGGTTTCACGGGTTTGCGCAGAACGAGTAAGCGTAGCTTTTCGGTGCTTCTTCCTCGGGATCTTACGGCAAGGTCCTGATCTCGTCGGTAGGTAACAGATGTTGGGGGTCTCGACGCAGTAGTGGTGTTCAGCACAAGAATTCAGCGAGTTGACTGTGGGAACGTGGATACCTGAAACAAGAGAGTGGTGTAGGTAAATTCGGCAAAGTTGGATAGAAGCAAAATGATGGAAGCGCCGCGTGTTAGCTTGGCAAGTGGCCAGATCTTAGCAACGTGGAAGACCAGCGAGGTAAGAGCCAAGCGTCTAGGCGCGGTTTGAGGGCCTCCGTATTGGGCGCTGAGACAACAGCTTCGGGGAGGGCGTTCCAAGCGAAGGCGGTACGCACACTGAAACTGTTTCTTCGGCACAGAAGGCGACTGCTACGAGTCATCAGTTTGAGTGAGTGCCCTCGAAGATGATCTGTACGGGCGCGGACCAGCAATCCTGCGTTTGGGTGTCTGTTATTAGTCAGAACGGAATAAGCTAAGATAAGGTCGCCACGAAGCCTGCGATATTTCAACGGGAAGAGGTTAAGGGCCGCCAGATGCTCCTCATACGAGAAGTGGGATAGTCCGTCCACTCTCTTAGTGGCTCTGCGCTGTATAGTTTCCAGCATGGCCTCGTCCTTCTTCAGGTACGGCGGCTGGACAAGTATGTTGTACTCCAGCAGCGGACGTACTAAAGTGCTGTAGAGACGGACAAATGTCTCTCTAGGGAAAGACCCTAGTGCACGTCCAAGGAGGGCCAGGCGAACGCTAGCCTTTCGCGCCAGTGTAGCTACATTGGCGCTCGGGCTCAGGTCGGCGGATATTATGGTCCCCAGGTCGCGTTCCTGGGATGTGACTTTAAGATGCACACCGCCGATATTGTACGGATTAGCCACACCTTGCCCAATGTGCATGACTTTGCACTTGTCCTCGAAACACTAGGACTGAAACGATGGGCAAATCCCTTGAGTGTTCCTTCTTGAGAGGATAGTCGAGCCGGGAAATGATAAGGTGTTGGAGGATTGATCGATCTAACACGAAACACCCGAAATACACTTTGGCCAAAAACTTACTGCCACATTCCCCGCACTAGAAGACTACACCGTGAAGGTCAGGCGATGTAAGAAAGAAGTAGAAAGAAAATGGAAGGTGAAGGGGAATGAGTCATTTAAATAAAGCGTAACACCAACGAGTGAAACGAATGACAGGACAAGATGGATAAATAAATAAATAAGTAAATAAATATTTTATTCTCGACAAAGCGAGACACGCCTTTTGGGCATGAACAGCATATTACAATATTGTACATGCTAGCACCATAAGCAGCACCAACTGCGAGAGTAGTACAGTTGGA